GTCATGGATACACCCTAAACCCTAAATTTCAAAGCCTAAGCCCTAATCTGGGTTGCTGTTANNNCCTTAACAGCAACCCAGTAATTGCCAAACTGCATCGCATCACAGGCTTCCCCCAGGCTCGAGTCGAAACCCTCGAAAGCAATCGGACATAGACATGAATCAGGGCATATGGGCCATAATCTAAACTCCTTAAAGGGGGTTATATAGGGTTTAGGGTTTAGGGTTTAGGGTTTAGGGTTTAGGGTCTAAACTCCTTAAAGGGGGTTATCAAAATGTTGGACCCTTTTTGGGTACCCTAAATATTAGGTGCCGTATTATAATTGGGACCCAAAAGGGACCATAATTTTGACATCCACCCATATAATACCGACCCTCACACTGAAATGAGCTATAGTCTAATCTCTCCTTAAAGGGTTTATATGGGGGATTATCAAGGGGGCTATAATAGGTCACCAAATGTTGGAACCTTCAGGCCTGAAAGGTCCTCATAGTAGATAAGCAGTTATTCTTAGGGTTTAGGGCTTAGGTTAAGTGGCTTTACCCCCCCAAAGATGGATCATCATAGAGCTCCGTGCTGTCAAGCAGACAGCAGTCCGTAAAACGACTTGTTGGGTTTCCATGTAAGTTTGGGGGAGGGTAGCCTAGAAAGCTCTAAAGTCCTAGGTCAAAAAATCCCACCAGCAATTTCGTCGTCTTGCTTAGATTCTCCCTGGGCATGCCTACACGTTCCAACCCCGAAGCCCAAGGGCTATCGCCTGAACCTGCAGACCTAAACAAACCTCAAATTGTGCGGCCTCAGCCTCTTAACCCTGAACCCCAGCCCCGAACCTCTAAACCCTAAATCTCATCATCCCTACCTGAACCCCAGAAGTAGGTAGAATAATGGCCCAAAACACCTAAATGTAGCCTGTAAGTCCATTCTTCCACCTACTTCTGGGGTTCAGGTACACCTTAAACCTCTAACCTCTAAACCCTAAACCCCTAAACCCTAAACCCCTAAACCCTAAAACCTAAACCCTAAATCTCATCAACCCTACACCTTAAACCGTTTTGCTAGCCTAGGGTTCCTCAAAGTAGTCCTCCCTCAGGAGCGGTCCAGCGACCTTTTGCCCTTCGGCGCACGTTGGTACTTACCTGGACCCCCAAAGTATGTAAAATAATTGCCTTTATGGCTGTTATTATGGGTTCAGGGCCATTATTTTACATGATTTGGGGGTTTACTTACAGCTTCAGTTTTTAGGTTCAGGGTTTAGAGCCAGGGTTGGGGTTTCGGGTCTAGGATTTTGGGTTGGGACTTCAAGTTCGCAAATTTGGCATTTAGGGTTGGGACATCAGGATTAGGGTCTGCCAGGGCAGCGGATGCCCTGGCCAATTTACCTCTCAGGTTTCCTTGAGGACATCTTGTTCCACGGTAGTTCCGAAATTAAGGAAGCCCGCAATATAGCCCCCAAAATGCTATAGTCCTTACTACAGGGGCCCCCAATAAGGTACCCCAAACTTTGGGAAACCCCGATACTTCATTCTAAACCCTAGTCCCTAAACGTTCCCTTGCGCCAGAAGGGCCATTTCAGAGTTGCCCCCGAGGTGGCCCCAAAAGCTCGCGCCACGCGGTGTAGGGGTTTTAGGGTTTCGGCCAAACCCAAAAGTAGCCACCAAAGCCAAGTAGTCCATTCCAGAAGCCAGCGAAGGCCAACTGTGGCTCCAAAAGCTCAAATTGTATCTAAGCACCCAATATTGGCTCGCAAATAGCTGGCTCCCAGATTGGGTCCACTTTTTCAAAATTGATTTGGATAGGCTGTACCTGGACCTCGAAATAGGAGGACAACCAACTTTTAACCCTGAAGACAACCAACATGCCATTGTTCTACATACCTTTGGGTGTATGTAGGGTTACGGGGAACGAAGCGCAGCATAGATCGTGGGCACAGGGTAATTCGCGCCGTCTCAGTTCATGTGGCTATACGCTAATTGGCTCGAAAATTGTACCAGCGTTGTTTGAGGGGGCCCTTAAGACTATAGATGTATATACATGTATTCATACAGGTATATCTCCAAACACAACAAGGCGTCTGCAAAGACTATTCCTTTAAGAAGGAGGCTAGACGAGTTTTTGACGCTACTTCGGGGGATGGTATCCTCAAAATGGCCGCAACCCTAAACCTGTAATTATACTGCGAGATCCTAGGCCTCTGAAGCCCCAAGCCCTTAAACTCCCTGAGCCCACCTCCTAGATCCTAGGCCAGTTCAGGGTTTAGGGTTTTAGGGTTTGGGTCTAAGCCCTTAAAACTCTTTGAACCCACCAGCGCGCACGGCAAGCCTTTGACACTATCAGGAAGCTGGTTACCTCCCTCGTGAAATCCGAGGCCTGCCCGGGTCGAGTCAGTACCTGTCTATAAAAACCCGCAGCCTCTAATACCAAACCCTAAACCCTAGACCCTAAACCCTGTTCCGCCAAGTAGGTTCAACTAAGTAGCCCTTGTAGATTTGGGAACGTGCTCAGTCTCAGGAGGTGAGGGCTAAACCCTAAACCCTATATGATGTGGGCAAGACCTCACCCGACCTCACATTTAATGTGCTTCACATAGGGAGTAGTACCAAAATGGCCTGAAATTGGGAATTGAACTTATTCTGAATTACCTTGATTATATACTGTAGCAAGGTCTGGGGCTTGCCATTCAGGGGCTGAGGGCCTAGGCTTTTTAGGGTTTAGGGTGTAGGATTCACAGTTTGTCTACTTGTACTTAAAGAAAGGGCTACACAGGCACACTGATACAATTCCTCAAGCAAACAAGGATTCACAGTTTGCAATTAGTGGTTTTGGGGCTTATGTAGGGGTCACCTGCTAGAGTTTCCCAGTCTTTCAAGTCTCGCTTTCTGGAAGATTTTGATAACTCTGAGGGAAATCAGATTATATTCTTGGGAACCTTCCAAACCTCTGCAGGACTTGTGATTGGGTGTGGGGATCAAAATGACGTTGGAAACAAAATCCAACAGCTTCTTGAGAATTAGTTCAATCCAGCAGCGGAGTACTCGTCATAGTCATGGTAATAACTAGTGAGGATGCTAATTTCTGACAGAACTCGTAAGTGCACCAGCAACTGAAGAGGCCTTCTGAGAGAAGAGCTTACCCTGCTTGATGTTGTTTACTTCTCCAAGTCTCCTTTCCACCAGGACGTTTTTACTCCTTGGAACTTAGCTTGGACCTTAGACCCTTAACCCTTTGGGGTTCCCTTGTATTCCTATAATAGGTAATTAAGTGCTAACCCTTAGTAGAGGTCCTAAGTGCCACGTAGATTTGTGGTCTCTTGACGGCTGAGGCTTGCAGCTGGCGTTTGGTTAGAGAAACGTATTGAACGGAACGCCAGTACAGCAATTCCTCGTCCCGGATACTATACCCTTCATCCCCTGGTGTGAATTACTTGCCAGCAAAGAGTGGGTTTCTTGAGGTACTTGTGCAAGCTATGCGGCGATGACGATTCCTAACACCTACATACTACAATGGCTACTTTCGCAGGCGCCACCTCCAGCACCTCCACCACCGCTGACGACGACGACGACGACGAC